TCTCATTCATGGATAGGAAACCTTAAATCCCCCAACCCGCATGCTAATCACACACAAACACAATGAAAACACAAGAAATCTGATGTATCTAGTATCTATTTTAATTATGGGATTGTCTATAAAAAAAAGACTATTTTTCTTTTTGTACATGAAAATCACAATCATTCTCACCCATTAAATATCAAATTGGGTGGCTTGAAATGAATCAAGATGCCCAAGAACTTTTTTAAAAAATTGTATCTATTCAGTAACACTCTTACAACCACCCATTTTGAAATTTAATGGACAAGAATGATTGTAACCTCCATGTACAAAAATAAATAAATGCTCTCTTTATAAACAATCCCTTCAGTTATTATATTCAAAAAAGTTCAAAAGATTTCCTATTCTAATGTAATCCCCTTCCACAATCTCTCTTAGAGATTGATTTTGGAGAAAAAATTACACAGCTCAATAATTTCAACCACCACTATCCTAAATCTAAAGAAACAAATAGGTTTTTAACCTCATACGGATTTCATTCAAAAGAAATAAAACGGTAAGTTTGAATCGGTCCAAAAACAAAACTTAAGAGCCTTTTTAAAAGTTTAAAATCTATTGCATTTATAAATTCATATTTATGATCATATAGGCCGAGATTATCAGCTATATAATTTTAGATTCAAAATCCCAAGATAAAAATTGGGCTTGTGCTTGAGCGATTAGCAGCAGGCCTATTAGCGTCGCTTCATCTCAAGTCCAATTCCTAACACTGAACTACCCAAAAAAAAATCCATCTACAAGATGGATTTCAGGAAGGAGAGAGAGAGAGATCCACCGCAAATTACATATTCAGAAAATATTGTTAAATTATAGCCAAGGTAGAAAATACAGGCTTGAGCAGCGAACGTACAATTTGACCCATGAGCCTCACTTTGAACTACTGCAGAATAAGCATCCATTAAATGATAAAAAACCGTGAGCCTATCGAGTTCCTCTTGAGAATTAACATCAAAGAGATTGTAAACAACCGTGATCCCTGTTGCATTCCTCAATTTGTAATGACAAGCCAACCACCCGCCTCCATCGCCTACATGCTTTCACTACTTTTTTCCCATTCCTTGTATTTTTAGTAATAAGTACTACAAGAAACTCCTCAAAGCCCAAGCTCCAAACCATTTGCAAATGGAGATATCCTAAATAAATATCCATTTTGAACTCAGAAAACCTCAATTCATCATAACTTCTTCAAAAAGAAAAAGAAACAAACAACAAAAGCACTGATTTAGCAGCTCACCCTATTCATTATGCTGTCAACCAAGGACTCTTGACTCTCAATGAAATAGTAGGCCCACTGTTGAGTAATAGCACATTTCTGCTTTTGTCAAGAAAAACAGAGGGGCCCCTAGTCAGTTGCATATGGAAACTATGTTGGGTTCTGTGCGGTTATTTGTAACAAAAAATATCTAGAAACTTGCTATTATACGGAATTCAAGCACTTAAGGTATACAAGTATGTGAAGATGATGTACCTTTGGTAGAAAATCACTGCCACAGAATATTCTCAAATGGAACCCATTAACTCGAGTGATGATCCGCTCGGTATTCTGGGTTCTCCTTCAATACGACAAAACCTTCAAGGACAGATGAGAGTGCAAGATATCTGTGAACAGAAACAGGTCACAAATCTTTCAAATACTAGACCACCAAAGAGAGAAAGCAGAAACAAGATGTAGGCAACATTGTGTGCGCGCACATGCACTTATTGCACAGACCACACTCAAATATGATTCGAAACTTTGAACCTAGAATGATTGGCTGACTGCCCCTTCTGATCAAACTACTTATGATAGAGCATTTTATGCAACTAAGAAAATTGAAATTGTCTACAAGTATGGGGTTTCATTTTATGTTTGGCTGATCTACATTTACTATGCTGAGATCAGTTCAGAGTATAACTGGTCTTAATCTAACTAAAATATCCCCACCCATACTAGGGAATTCATGACCTCCATCCAAATGAGATCTACTCTAAAATGTAGAGATATTTGACATATTTGTGTTCCAATTTTTGGGACTAAAATGCACAAAAACTACACAAAAAGGGAAGCCTACTTCTCAGTTGCCAATTCTGCCCTTTCTCCTGCTGATAGGAGAACAGGGGTTGAATGAGTCTGGAACCCTGTAATGGTTTTAGGACGACCTGCCTGTCCAACCACATCAACAGCCTGACCAACTCGGACTGGTACTGACACGGGTTTCAAATCTTCATCCACAGTCATTAGCATTCTAGGCTGCCAAAACAAACAATGAAGGTTTGCATCAAACAACGCAATCTCAGGAATACACAAAGCAGAACCAGAAAACTCAGCCCCAACCTGCACGGCCAAAACAAGGAAGTAGAGGACATAGTGGTATTTCCCCAATACGATGGACTTCATGTCCAGGCAAGCATGTAGCAGAATGATTAATCCAGCAGCTGCAGAACTGGGTAAGAAAATGAAAAGATAAAAGGCATCATATGAAAAGAATGGTGAAAAAAAGGAGCGCAGTACACCACCTAAGAAGAAGCAAAAATAGATTCTATTTTTATTTTTTTGATAAATGAACTGACGACTCCTTACAGACTTGCAATCAATTCAGTAGAAGTTCAGTCTGAAGACAGCTTTTGCAAGTTTGGTGGAAATTTTAGTCCAAATCATATTAAAATCAGAGAAAAGAAAACTTATACAAAAAACTTGAAATAAACTGAGATTCCAGTCAATCATCCCTTCCAACAAGGTTTCAATGAATTATTTAAAATTTTGAATATAAAACCAAGTAATCAGCATAAATCCACTTCACAGTTGCCTAATATTCACGGTATGATACCCTCAAATTCATTGCATCATGCTGACCCATCATACGCTGAATTTCAGCCTGTTCTGAAAAAAGAATGTTGCCTGACATTCTAAATTAAATACATGGGACTCCAGCACCAGGTGCCTTGGACTTACGGTGACAACAAAAATCGATCTGAATGATAAGGAGCTAAGGTCAATAATCCCTTCCCCAGATGTACAAGACCTTGAGCAATCCGTACCTGCACATAGTTAAATCAAATCAGAAGATTCAAAGCCAGCTATGGCCCCAAAGTTGACAATCTAACTTTGAAACTTACACAGTACAGAAGGCTGGCATCTTTGTAGTAATAACTTGAAAGGTTTCGAAGCATTCCAGCAATGCGTGCATTATTCGTGCCTGCACCTATTAAGCCCAACGAGATGGTGGCTGCCTGAAAATACAGTAGTAATAAGAGTTCTATTGGTTTCTTATGGACAGGTATTGAAAGTAGTTAAAATGAAGTTCGAAGAAAATAAAAAGCGACATCCATAATAAAACTGACCATGGCTACATCTGAATCAGCGTCATGGCTCAATCTGCTCAAGGTGTCCATAACATTAACCTGGTTCAATCCAACATGTTAGTCTCATGAAGCCTCATCTAGTCACTATTGAAGGGATGGAATATTCGAGACAGAAGACTCTTGGACGGCCAAGAAAGTAGGTAACCTTAGGGTTGGAGATGCAAAGCAGGCCAAGTGCTGAAGGCACTGCTCTTCTAATGTTCTGTTCTCCATACTGTAAAAGATGCCCTAGAGATCGTATAGCCATATCAAGACCTAACTCTTCAGCCATAGCAATAAGAGCATATCCAATCACAGCAGCTCCTTGGTGGGTCTCGCCCTTCTCAAGATGTTCTGCACAGATCCCCAAAAGGCTCTGAACCTGTATGTATGTAGAAAGATAATTTGTTTAAGCAAGGAGCAAAGTGAACATTCAAGTTTCCAATCAGTGTTCAGAAAGTCAGATGCGACCGCCTAGGCAGCCCTAAAGTGTGGGAAGGGGGGATGTATATTTAGAATAGTGTGAAGAAAAGATGGAAGGCTACTATAAGAAATTTCATCGACAAAAATAGGGTACTTATAGAATATTTTATAATCAGTCATATGTTATATCTTCATTCACAAGGAGCAAAGCAAGAGAGAAAAGAGACGAGGGATTAGAGAGAGAGAGCAGAGATTTTTACAAGCTTAATGGCAGTAGTGGTTTTTCTTACTGTTTCTCTTTGTAACACCTGCTCTTGTTTGTGCAAGGGAGAAAAAAGAGGAAAGAGAGAGGACAAGAGGGGAGTGGGGGGGAGGAGAGAGAGAGGAGAAAGAGAGGACGCTTTCTTCAATGTTAATGGCAGTTAATGGTTTTATTCTCGAGCCTTTCTCTCTTCTAAACCCTGCCATCTTCTTCTTCTTCTTCTTCTTACATTTTTTTTGGGATTGTATATAATGAAACCATTTACCTTTGATACAAGGTGGACACATTTCCTTACAACCATTTGATGTGAAATTTGATAGCTTGGATGCGTCACAGAGTAAGAGAAAATTTCTTTTGAAGTTTGAGCCTGTTCAATAGAATAATTGCAGCCACTCAATTTCACATCTAATGGCCATGATTATTGTGATCACCCTGTATCAAAGGTAAATGGTGTCATTCTATTCTCTCTTTCTTTTACTTTCCTTTAGAGGGACTTACATAGCTTTTTTTAGGACTCCAATGTTTTTCTTGAAGGGGGCTTATGTCTTTTAACTCAATTTTTTTGTTTTAAGGGGATGGAACTAGGCAGGAGATCCATGCGCTCGCCTAGACCTGTTTGATTCAGTGGCCTACCTAGACTGCCTAGGCAACCAGGCGTCCAAATTTTTTAACATTGTTTCTAATTTTAAGGCCAAGAAGAACAGATCTTAAGCAATATCTATCCAAAATAACAGAAACACACCTTAAGCACATTCCCAGTGCCTGCATATGCGCAGGACATCAGCGCTACTTGGCAATATTTGGAAATTTTCTGGTTGAATGTTTTGGTCACTTCAATGGTGGCATCAACATTTTCCTGTTCGCAAATGAAGAACACCAACTAGTTATTTAGAAAGAACAAGCATAACTGGAAAATAGCCAAAAATAAATAAATAAATAAATACTAAATTATATTCTTGGGAACTTTTACAGTCATTTGAGAAACCCGAAACCTCAGAAGTCGGGTTATTAAGTGATCACAGACCAGGTTAATAAGTCACCAAATACCAACCAAAGTAAGAAAGACAAGTGAATACAGCAAACTAGCATATATTCAGAAAATAGAGTAAGATGATAGAGGCCATATTTTCCCAAATTTTAAAGATAGTACCTGTTTGCCCAGGTACAAAAGGCCAAGACCTAGAGGAAGAAACCGAGCAAGGGGCTCTCCGAGCTCAGACTCACTTCTTTCCATGAGTGCAAGTACAATGGACTGTGCAACATCATCATTGCAAGAACCGACATAAATGAGCCCAAGTGAGATTGCCGTAAATGCAATAACTTCAATTGGAACTTTTAAGTCAATCAAAATTGGAGCCAGAAGCTGAAGAACCTGCCAAAACATCAGCAAAACAGTACGGCCTTCTTATACATTGATTAAGGGGTATCAAAAGCAGCTTTGCATAGATAGACAACCATATCTTCAGATTTGCATGGATAGACAACCATATCTTCAGCTCATTAACTGTTTTTTTTGCTTTAGTTTTCTATGATGATACCCGTAACCCTCCCTCCCTCCCTCTCGGTTTAATGCTGATGCCTGGTGTCATCCTTTAGAAGAATTGGAAGGAATATGACAAGTAGGAGTACTAGAAAGGAGAGGAAGATCATAAGGAAGGGCATCTAGATAAACATCATATCCGGATCCTGTAAGCAATGAGTTAAAGAGGACTAAATGTGAGAATTTACAATGAACAGAAGGGAAGGCTGGAGTTTGGGCGCAGTTTAGGTTTTGGGTGACAGTGCAGCAAATTAATTTCATTTTTGGAGGAACCTTGAAAAGGAAAAGAGAGGTTAGACTGTTGGAGAATAGTTTATGAGTTGTGGAGCCTAGCAAAGAATAGGAGGCAACAAGTCAAGTGTGCTGTCAATGGAGGAAAGGTGATTCATGTCTATGCTTAAGCGGGAATCAAGGTATGATAATGTTTTCAAGCTAGTGCATCAATTTGGGCTAGGGCCAATAAGGTGTCGACTTGGGGACTGATTAGATGATGTTCCTTTAGATCTTTTAACAGATTTCTGCAACCATATCAGATTGGTATTGAAGAGCAGTCCCACTCCAAGGGTGGCAACATGTGGGTGGTTGGAAATTACAGAGAAGAATCAGAATCTATATATATAACCATCTCAAGGGGTTCCATTTTCTTAGTCCTCCATATGAGCAGAGCACAGAAACCGTGGACTATCTTCTCACACATAACGAGTCCTTTTGCCTTAATGGCATCTTAAGGGTGCTCCTTGGAATCAACTAGGACTCTCCTTATTTCATTTTGGCCTTTGTTCCCTTATCTGTATGAGGGGTTGAATTACATGGAGATGCAGCAATTTCATGACCATTGGAGGAATTTGAAAGAAATAAAAATATGAAAACATTTTTGAGTAATAGAAAGGGGAGGGATGTGGAGGAAAAGGTATCAAGGTGAACATTATTATCAGAGATCATGAAAAGGGCGTGTTTGGTAAGTAGAAAACTTCATGTTCACTGGAAACTATCACAGATGGTGAAACTATCGCAGTAGCAAGCAGCATTCATAGGCCAAGTCTACAAGTCTCATGACTGGGCTTTATGATTTCCTTAAGAACTCCTCTCTGGTCTATTAATTTTGGAAGAGGACTCAGTAAACACAGTTAACTATGAGATCATAATAATTTATTTTTTTTAAAAAAAAGGCAAGCAAGACTGCCCCGACAACCGCAAATGTTGTGGAAAAGATACTAGAGATGGTTTATAGCACGAACATCAGTTTTGTTTGCCATATTCAAAAAGCAGTCAATGGCTAAAGCGATACCTTAGGCTGGTGGTGACTAAGGGAGGGAGGACAACGTGCCTGAGAATCAATTTCCTCTATATAACACCTTCTCAATTGTGTAATTTCCTATTGCCTAGTGATCAATAATTACTCTTCAAACAAAAAAAATCACTTCCAGATTTTAGGGACCAGATCGACAAGTCCAACTTCCATAAAAGCCCCAAAGTGAATATCAGAATTATAAATTTACTCATCAAAAAACCAAAAGCAACTCACCTCCTCTTTTTGGGTACCAGCATAGGCAAGACCAAGCCCCATGATAGCCCCTATCCGGATGCTAGAATCATCCTTAGTTACATAATCTGCCAGAAGGGCATAAGCCTGCAACAAATGTAAAAAGACAAGTGTTGGTTCTGGGTACCTGCATAGCCATCAGTTTCAGAAGTCATGGTAAGACAGAAAATGTAATAAAACTCACAGGGTCACATTCATTCCGGATGCCACAATTGACAATCCCAACTGCTAATAAAGCCCCTGTAATGACATGATTGTCATTGCTGTGGAAATACTTGTCAATCTGTGCAAGGCCAGCATCTACATCCCACAAGTGGATCAAACCCTGGATTTGTAGCCCATGTTGTTAGAAATGTCCAAAAGAATAACCCAAACGATATTAGGAACTTTAAAAAAGCAGACAAGAGCTTTAGAAAATGTCAATTTTAAATAGAAAAACAGCCTACCAAACTAGCTGCAGCACTGGCTTTTCCATGTTCCTTGTTCTTAAAAAGCCAACTTCCTGAAGAACCGCCACTCGAAGATTCTGAAGGAACAGTCATCAATTTATCCTGCAAATGACAAAATATAGACGTTCATCCTAAGCTGCCCCAATAGATAGACAAGGTTCCAAGTCCAGAAAAGGTGTCCAGAACGTGCCTGACCAAAACCTGCATTCACAAATGCATTGACAAAAGTGGCTGCTAGGTTTTGCCTGGCTGAATCAACACTTGCTCCAGCACTCGCCCTGCCATCAATCAAATGCACCTGAGAAAGCAACGTATAATACAAAAAGAAGCCAGTAAATTCCCATAATTATCGAGAAAACTACATCTTCAGCTATTCAGCCAGATATTGTTCTTTGGCTTCAAAATACATTTTAAATACCTTCTGTCCATTAATAATCTCATCCCACTCAAGGAAAAATACAACTTAAAAAAAGACAGAAGGACAGAGAATGTTCAATTACAGAAAACAAGTGTGCGAAGGCTACTTCTACCAAGGCAGAGGATAAATGTATAAAACAAAAGAGAACCTAAAGAGTAAGGAAAGGGAGAGACTTTAGCATCCAAGATATTTGGATGCAATCCTATAAAGTAGTATCATGCAGTCTCCAATAGGCATATTTATCAAGACCGGACCAAACCGGCTGGTTAGACTGCCTACAAGTGCCTTGACTGGTCTGGTTCAAAGCAAAACCAAATTTGACTAAAAACTTGTTAACGCCAATGTTTAATTGGATTTAGCCTATTGGTTCAACTTGCTTTAACCATTTAGACAGGTTTAACAAAGTATAGAGAACCTTTTTTTTTGTAATATACTTCATTAAACTAGTATTCTTTTTTCCCTTTATTTCTTAAAAATACTATCCAACTTGCTTCGACTGGTTTTGACAAAACCAACCCCTCATTAGTTTGGAAGCCGATCTGGTTCAAACAACACTGCAAATAAATGAGCTACATCCTTAGAACTAGTAGTCTAACACAGAATTAGCATTCAAACATTTGTCAGCACTCAGGAAAGCCAGCTTACCTCTGGAAAATGAAAAACAACCTTAAAGTTGAAACCTTAGTACCCCGTAAATATGACAGATAAATAGTTAATGCAATGAGCCAGACAATAAAAAACTAGAATGTACCAAATAAGAAAACTCCTTTACTATATGAAGAGCATATCAAATACATCATGGATATGCTATAAAATTTGCAAGAGGGTCATTCACGACCCATTCTTAAGAAGGGCAGTGGTTTGTGAAACCCAGGCAGAAGGTAGTATGGAGAAAACTTGGGAAATAACTTGCCATTACTTGTATGCAAACACGCACATGCAGACACACACATATACATTTGATATACATATACCACAATGTTTTTGTGCGTCTCATAAAATCAGATACTTTGGCCTCAGCCTAAAATACACTTGATCATACTATTGTAGACTTCAAAGAGTTACTACCCTTTCCCTTTCCCAAAAAATCCTTGAGACACACGCACACATGCACACGCACCATCCCAAAATCCAGGACACTAGTACAAGTATCATATCCACACAAACAAGCGCACACGCACTAGACACACACGTCATGTATTTACTTTATACACAACAAAGTTTGGGCATATCATAATTATTATATTTCATCATAGTATTATTCTGTAATGTCTCTCTTATATGTCTACAAGGATCCTGAGAGAAGTTATCAGCATCTGTATCATATCATGCCTACCAATAGGCCAGGCCTACTTAGATGCAACACAAGTAATGCTTTCAAGAAGTTCTCTTCATGCAACAAAAGAATTACATGCTGCAAAATCCCCAAAAGCACAAGGTTTTGGACAAAAAAGACCAAAATACCCCCAAAACTTTACAGGGGCATTTTGGTCAATTTTTTTCAAGTAAAATATTTTTTTTATATTTTTCGAAGATTCACCTATTTTTTATGTACACACGCTCTAAATTTCAGATCAATCCGATTTGTAGAAAAAAATTAAAATTCAAACACTACTGGACATTCGAGATCGTCAAATCAGTCCAGATTGTTGGCGTTTACTGTAGCAGTACGCCCTTGGGCTAACAGGATCTTTTCCCTATATATATATATACGAATGTGGAAAGGGATAGATCACCAAAGATAAAAACAATCCAATTGGTGTACCTTATAGATATCATCAGGGGACTTAGGTTCCATGACCTCAATGTCCCGTGCAAGAGTAAGATAACCTTCACTTAATTTGGCATTGCTCATGATTTCTTGTAGTATCTCTCGCTGTTCTTCATTTCCAATCACCTCATCATCAAGATCCAATGACACACCCTAAATAAAAGAAATGTGTTTTAGCACAATTCCGACAAAAAGGACATGACGATATTTTTGGATAACTGTAGATGAATACACACTTAAATTATTTTATTTCCACATATCTTGTCAAATAGTTATATACTAAAGTAAGAATTATGGTCCCAGATAAACTATTAAAAACAGGGGGTTATATGTTCTATGCAGGTCAATGGAGTTAACCAACAAAGAGAAAGGGGTAAAAGACGTTCTGAGAACTTATTCATTAGGAAACATTTTCAAAACTTGTTCATGGCTTCATGTCCCCCTAACAGCGAGTTAAATAACATTAAGTACTCGTTGGTAAAAAAGGTGATCGTTGAATTTGGAACAATAAGTAACATTGACTTGGCTCTCGTGCATAGTGTTATCCATTAGGACTAATGAGCACTTCATATGTGAGGAAAGAAATATCCAAAATATCTCCTCTTAAAGAAATGTCTCACAAAAGTAGGGGAAACACATAGATTCTAGTATCATTGGACGAGATGTACATCATTTTGATCTTGTGTTGAGTAGGATTGCTGAGCTGAACTCCTAGTCAAATAATTTTGAAGGATCCAGTCCCCAAGGGCTTCGATATCTACCAAAAGAGAAACTCCCAAGTTTGAAAATATGAAACCATGCAACATACCTGTCGAGCCAAAATGTAGCAAAGCTGTTTCTTCTTTAGAGGATCCGAACAGCAAACAAATAACTGTCGGACATACTGTCAAAGACAAAATAAATGTAAGGTGAGGAGTCAAAAAATAGCAAGTGGCAACATAATGGGCATCAATGCTGAAGGTATCTTACAGGAGCATTATCCATGCGGAGTGCTACGCAAAGTGCACTAGTGTACTCCTCAAACTTGATGTAAATGGAAAATGCAATTTCGAGCACCAGCATATCATCAGGGCTAGGCAGATAGCTGAAACAGGTTTGAGTGGTAGATATTAGTCCAACAACAAAAACAAGAAACATTAATCATACGTAAAAAACCATAAGTCTTCCAAAATACTCATAAAATAAGTGTGACTGTAGCATCCAAAAAACAAATCGTGTAGAGGGTATAGTAGCGTGGGCCCCATGCTTTCGAAGGGACCATAGAGATGACGGGATCTGTTGGTGAATAGGCTCCTGGCTAGATAAGAGGTATTAATCCCCACTAAAAAGTTGTTGGCAAGAGTATTTTTCTGAGCTACAAAGTGATGGTTCTGCTCAAGCCATTCTTTATCGCCCCATGCTTCAGAAGGGACCATAGAGATGACAAGATCTGTTGGTGAATAATCTCCTGGCTAGATAAGAGGTACTAATCAACAAAAAAAAGTTGTTCGTAAGAGCATTTTTCTAGGCTACAAAATGAAGGTTCTGCTGAAGCCATTCTTTATTGCATTAAAAGCAGGAATCCTGCCATCCTGTTACCATACCAGGTTGTCTGGTAGATAGTCTTCCAACTAACTACCAGAAGGCTGTTAGCTTCAGGGTTGTTTAGTCAGAATGAATCTATCCTCAATGCTGGAGTATCAAGTTTCTGGACTATTTTATGCTATTTCAAAATGAACATGACTTAATAGATCATCTTCTACTTAAAAGTGCATACACAAGGAGATAGGTTTCTAACTCAATGTGGTGCTTCATGGTACCACTGCCGGCATGAGGAGCAGATGCACTGTGAGGTAAGTATCTGGTCCATCCTCGAAAAACAAATCTCATGAAGGATCCACTAATAGCTATCTCATGGGGACTCTAGAACGGCTCTGAATAACAGAACTTCACAAGAAAATTGATGCAGCATCAAGGTTCTCAAGGTGAGAATAAGAGCTTTGATCATCTCATGGGCATTATATAAAGGGTGCAGTTTGTATAGAGCCGAGGCTCTAAACAATCAAAGTAAAGCGCACCTTCAAATAGTATCGAGAAATGTGGTTTCAATATTGAAAATCTTTGTGATAGCCTTAAAATATATATATTCATCTTTAATTATAAAATTTAAAGCTTCAAAAATAGTGTAGATGGAGCAGATCTATGAAAACTTGAAAATCTTGAAAATTGACGGTCCCAAAATGCATTATAAGATGCACTATTTCCAAACCTTGAAATCCATTTTTTTCTCATGTCCATGCATCTTGATGTTGAGATGATCAATTTGAGGATAGTTTGGCATCAAAACAAGCTCTTCTAGTGAAATTTTTTAGGTGGGCTATAATTTGATTGTTTAGAGCCTCAGCTCTATATTAACTTTCCCTTATATAAAAGATTTTCAAATCATCAAAGTGCACACTATATAAAAGAGTTTCAATGCATCAAAGTGGATGATTTGATTTGGGATTCTAAAGTACATTTAGTGAAATAAATAAGGTACAAAACCAAAAGTAATAGGTTCCAAACCTAAACCAGTTTGGAAGCTACTTTTCTTTTCTTTTTTGCTTTTTTTCTTTTTGGTGGGGTGTGGGGGGAGGGGATGGGGAGTTAAAAAGTTCAGTTTTGATGGTGGATCTAAAAAGGACACTGCTCCTCAAGTGCAGGGTTTTATATGGAACTATGACGTTCAATTTTGAGTCCAACTGAGAGACCTATAAGGCAGAAGCATAAGTTTAGACCGGACGAGCATATTTCTCATGGAGTTCTTAAGACCACTTGTAGCGGGAGGTGATTTATTGAATCCCTCTACCATGCATTGACACCAATTTAAAATGTTGATCCTATAATCAGGGTGCATTGCCATGTACCAACTATTGGGAACTCCATCCTGCTTCTCTCTGAGCTATACTCGAGGCAAACAGCATCTGCTGGACTTGAATTCTTGAACAGTTAATGAAAGGTGACAAAAGAATTATGAAAGCGGAGGAAATAATGGTGATGATCATAAAAGATCCACGCATACTTGACTGATAGTTTACAAGGCGCTTACCTAGCAAAACTGGTCAAGTACAAACACGTCCGTACGTAATTAGTGGAGTCGATGTGGTCAACTAACATATCTAAGTCCTCCACCTGAAATGCCAAAAATCAATTAAATAAAATTCAAGACTAAGACAATACACAAGAAAATAGACTAGGAGAATCCAGAGCGTACCTCCATTAAGAGATCAACAGCTTCAGGTTCAGCATTGTGCTGTAGCAAAGTCAAGACAGAAAAAAAAGGTAAATGACAAAAAGAAAAGAAAACTGAAACAAGTTTAGAAAATAATGAAGTTCAACATGAGTATCCTAACACCAAACAAATGGTATCAAAGATTTATTTATCAATAAAAGATCATAGAAAGATATTTCAGATTGTTAACTGTTGAGAAATATTATAGAAACTGAGGACAAAGGAATGAAAAAGCAGCATCAAGACAGAAATTGCAGGGTATCATACCAAGAAAAAAAATTGGAAAAATAGTACCTTTACATGGAAGGAAACAATTTGCTGAACAAGTTCCATAAGATCATCAATTGGGGCTTCATCAATCTGCTTTACAAAGAGGTGCTAGTGTTGGTACCAGAAAAATATGAAGTCATTCATAGCATAAGCATTTTTTTTTGCATAACAGGACATGGTATTTGACAGTTGGTGAAACAAGACATCAGCCTATACAACCCAGATAACCAATACCCAGTCAGACCGCATAATGTGTAAAATAAAAGACAACATTATGTAATTGAAAAAATTGTAAAAATAAGAAGTCCCCAGATCATCTACTTATGCAATGCTTTTTCACTACAGAAATGTAAGGACTGTTCCTTAAACTATTTGGTGTCCCATAGGCAAACCGTAGCATGTGGCCCTTGGCCTCATGTCACGTCGTCACATGTCGACAAGTCAACACATGAGGACAATCTTTATATGTTAACCTCTTAAAAAATATCAATAAGGAACATGGGGGACCTCAAACTCAAGACAGTTCGAGTCACCCCCACTACTTCAACTACTCTCACTCCACTTTGTGTTACAAAGTTACAAATTATATTATCTAGTATAAAACAATAAAAATTTTACTTACAAAATTAAGTGTACGAACGTGTTTAGCCATGTCTAATTTTTAGGCTGACATACTAGACAACTGCATCAGTCATAGACATTGACAACATATCGTGTCCATGTAACACTGCTCACAGGTCAAAGTGATTTCAGTCACTAATTTAGACTGCTGGGTCTTTGGCCCTTTCCATCAAAATGGTCATTCAAGAAGATTTTTCTATGGGACTGGCTCAAGCTAGGATTCAATCTGTCAGTAGGTTCAATAAGAGCCAATCTAATGAACCTTAGATTGAAAAGAATTCCACCAAAGTAGAGCATTAGACTTGGATCATGAGTGGAAGACCATGTTTGCAACGTCCTTCACACCTATTGGTGGATCCCCTTGGAGGGGCTCTATAGCTCATGTTTTAGTTCAGAATTGAATCTAAGTCCTTCTGAATTAGGGGGCATTTTGAGGGATAGTCTCAAGTAGTGAAGAAGGCTTTCCCTCTCACCAGATCAGCATAGGTGGAGAACTAAATGCCATTTAAGCAATAACGCTAAAGAATGCTATTTGGATTTCTTTTTGGGTGTCTAAAGGAAAAATAACTGCATGTTTTACTGAACAAAATTGCATTGACATGTCAAGAATCACTCTTCTTGTGGTGGCTTGTTGATATTCCGAGGAGATCATCAACATTAACAGTAGGGTGCCTATCACTTCCATCATATTTTAGGAGTTACAAATGAGAATGCTGACTCCAGCTAAAGAGGGGATACGATGCATAGAGCTTCACTTATGGTAGGGAATGAAAACTCACTATAATGACACTTCTGCAATCTCACGTGCATATCTTTGCTTGCATGCACTGGCCAGTGCAACTACGTATATATCTTTTAGATCAATGATATGCTACAAGAGCTGACCAGAGAAGCAAAATTCTTCCGTCCATGTCTTTGTTGCACTCACAAGTGCAACTAAGTGCACAACTTTTGAATCAATGAAAATCCAACGCAAAAGAAATTAAAACCTCTTTCCGGCAAAAAGTAGAATGCATGAGAGCTAAACACTATATAGGGAAAGACCTTTTTAACCAACTTTTCAACCACTCCCCCACAAGGACTACCAATGATGAGAACTTGGCAAAGTCTCATTTTATGCAGTTACCACATGTAGAAAGACATACAGTTCCACCCTATGAAGAGCAAAACACGCTCAAAGACTAAAGACTCACAAAACAAATTTTGGGAACGGCCCATTTTTTCCTCAACCCATTTGGGAGTGAAAAACAGTCCTGCTTGGTCCGCTCCACTATTCACAAGTGATGGACTTTTGTAACCCCACTTGATAAAACAATGCCGCCAAAATTTTTATGATCCAGCAACAGGAAAAACCATGCTTTCCCTTCATTTATAAATAACTCCCTTATTAGATTTGTATGGCCATCTAAAAGGGGCTCTAGTCTGGAATGGTAGTTGATTTTACCCAAGAAAGGGACCATACTTGACAGTTGATATCTGTGTGTGTCCGTCTAGTTTTATCCAAGGGAGAGAATAGGACTGTATCTCTATGAAGTTGAGTGATGCTTGTGCATGCTTTCATCCAACAAAACAAAACCATTTCCATTAAAACAGTCAAAATAAAACTGTAAGCAACAAAGGGTAGCAAATGATTAATCAAAAGCAAAAAGAAAAAATAAAAGACCTTGAACAAGAGTTTCCAATTTCATCTCAAATGACTTCCCTACCAAGTCTAATCAACATAAATTCTATAAGTTTTTACCATGTATATTATTTTAGTTGATAAGAGTATGGGAAATAATCATTGTGTCTTCCAATGTCAAGTCATTCAATTCCTTTCATCTCATTATTTATGTTTCAAAGGTAAAAATACCATATTTTAAATCATGTTCTTTTGACAACCAGTTTGTGAACATGGAACAATTAATGAGATCAAGAACATCTTGTCCCAGAAGAAAAGAAACATGGAACAATTACTAGATCAAAACAGCAGCCGTAAACATGGAGTAATTAATGAGATCAAGATGGTAGCCGTCAAGCTTCACCCAGTGTAAACTCTAATAGGAGAATACACCAAGTTTATTAATAAAAAGACCAGCGGCACAAAAAGGAAGCCTGAAATGGAGTTGTCAGTAGTAACCACAGGGACAATCCAACACGCATGCAATATTAGCAAACACAACAAACATAATATTCAAAGGGATAGTTCACAATGTAACCTGGCGCTTTGTGTATTCTTGAGAAATTTCCCCTGCAAGATTTCTGACCAGACCAAAGAAAATTTCATATAGTGAGCAAAATTCAGCACATCTCAGTTAATTCAGTTCAATCCAATGCTAAATAAATGCAATTTTATGAAGGGAAAATAATCCCAAAAGAAGAGAAATGCTTGCATCCACGACAATATTAGAAAAATAATGATCATGATGATGACAACGGCAACGATACTGATGACATACAATTCTAACAATAATAACAATGCAAGCAGCTATTAATGGTGGTGGTGGTGGTGTTGTGGTGAGAAGAAGAAGAAAATGAAACATAAGCATTGAAATACAAACAGATGAATCTAAGAAATATAATTTCAATAATAACAGAAAAAGGAAAGATAGATTAAGCTGTATTAAAACAGAACACGAATATCTGAATTAAACTTGAGAGATTTACAAAAAAGTGATTTAATCCACACTTTTGGTTTTGAAACTTCATAAGAACTTATAAGGGGATAATTTTCAGAAATGTAGATTCTATAGAAGCAATCTTTCATTCCAGAACATGGTGGAATCCACACAAGGTCACTTACAACTCATAATGTATTCATGTGATCACACTTACAATGCATATCACTCATAACCACTTTTTGAAAACCAGGATTGCCTGGCTAACCGATCATTCAAGAAACAGCTCGGGATCGGCAATGCAGTGATCTAAATCGGTGGATCAATCGGTTTGGGCTGATCCAGCCTTAAAAAACATTCAAGTAGTTTTTTAAAATCATTATAAACATTGTTTTCTGGGTTTCCAACAAGGGGGTATTGCATAATGGATTTTCATTATTTTAAAAAAATATGTGACTACGAAGATGTCGTTTCCTGTTTGAGGGTTTATTGATATTATATTCAATTCACAGTCAAAATGGAACATACAATTATAAAGAATATCGATACATAGTCCAAAATAGAAGATACAATTATCAAGATATAGCCTAATACCAAAACAAATGACAAGCTGCCTCATTGGCATTCTGATTAACCTCGTTAAATTGTCAAAATAAATCATTGAGTCAGTTGATGTATGAGTATGGAGGTTCAAACTTGAAAATAATAGGTTGACCGTAACTGCCCAAGTAGTTCAAGAATGAATTGGGCATGGGGAACCATTCTCCTAGCCTGAAATCCCCAAGGGTGCTCCAACCCTTTTACGAAGCCCCACCCTCCTGCGCCAAGGGCTCGGGTTGTGTATCTCTTGGAATTATGCATTTTCTTAAAATGTATTTTAGAACTTTATGTATAGTACTCTTTTTTTTAAATGTATTCCAAAAAGATACTACTATTCTAAAAACAAATTATACATTCTATTGGAATAAATATCGCAATTAAAAAAAGAATTATTATTATTTAAAATTTTATATGTTATATATTAATAAATATGACAATTAATTTTTAATAAAAACCTTTTACATTATCTTATAACAAAAAACTACAATTTACAATTTACAAGATATCACTTTTAAAAAGAAATTATATAATTCTATTTAAAAATTTATGTTTTCAAATTATAAATCAAAATAAAGCATTTTTTTCAAAAATTGCAAGCCTTTTTCCCCAAAAAATTAAAACTAAGCCAAGAAAAATTTAGATCTTCATAAAACAAAGGAAAAGAAATAAGGAAATTGAACAATTTATTAGCTTTTATTTTTCAAAAGGAAAAAAGAAAATCTTTTAAGGGCACCCAAGCATGAGGATTCTTTTGGGGCAAGATCTATATAATACTAGGTTTAGATCCTTTAATTTGAATCAAAGATGCTATAGAGAGATGGATGAATATCCCTTCAAACCAAATATGAAGAAATTTGGTGCAAAATCAAACATGGAATCTTTGATTAGGGAGATTTTGCAAAACAAAAATATTTTAATGTAATGTTAACAGATACAAAAAAAATATATATATATATATATATATATATAACCCTAAATCTGAGAAAATAAAAATTCAAAACAAATAATAGAAATTAAAAATATAAATACCTCGTTTAGATGAAATCAGATGTCTTCTCGATCCTAATTTATAAATCTTGAATTCAAAAAACTCAGATGCCACAAAACCCAAAATTTATCAGGCTAGATATAAGGAAAATTAGATTTTGATCACCCAAATTGAATTTTTGATGTTGAAGAAGCTTTGATTAATATTCTTTAGAATCAAATTTGAAAGAATTTGGTTCAAATTTGAAAGGGAATCTTGAACTTCAATGGATTTATCCAAGAACACCAAAAAAAACTTGAATTGTTCTTTAAAAAAGGGAATATTAGCTTAAAATCTACTTGCAACAACTAGATCGTTGTGTTTAACCTACGATCTAGGGCAAAAAACTTGAATTTTTCTTTAAAAAAGGGATATTAGCTTAAAATCTACTTGCAACAACTAGATTGTTGTGTTTAACCTACGGTCTAGGGCTTAATAATAAGCCCAAACTTCAATCATTTTCATGAATTATTGATAAAAAGATAAAAAAAATGTAAAGCTCAAAAGATGTAAAGCAGTCGAAAAAAATATAGTCCGTCAATTATTGGTGGATTGTTTCGACTTAGAATGATCCACATGTTCTCTGTCTGGTGGGTTGTCGATTCGCTTACAGAATCTGCGACCCACTAAAGAATCGGACCGATTACCAATACGCTCTAGGAACTAGTTCGTTCAACGTTGATTCCCAATTCGGACAGGCGATTCCCAATCCAGATCGGTTACAAAATAATGGTGTAAACAAATAGTACATCACTTCACCAGAATAGGTTGGAATGCCTATATGGCTAATCTATGCAAAGTTGGTGCTTTATTCAACAATACAGCATGTCCTTCCATAACCTTTTGATGTATTTCCCATACAATTGGTTCTTTTTCCTGGACTTTACTTTTAGCAATCCAAAAGTTGAAAGTAGCATGTTGTCTAATTAGACCACGAATTACAAATGTTTGTGAGAGCTCTATTGCTATTTCTTGGGGCAATCCGCATCAATGAAATGAAAGCAAAGGGCCCACCATAATGAAAGAATGATCCAAGTAATGACCCATTTACCATGTAGAGCATCGCAAAATCTTCCCTCTTTGCCTTCAATTACATCTGAAAAAAACTTGTAAACTTTGTGTGACCATCCCTTATTGGTTATCCATTTGATCACATTATCAAGAAATATATCTACGGTTTCATGTACTAATTCCTCCTAATAAATCACTCACCAATCTGGACTGTGCATCACCAATCCAGATTGGAATCAGAGTTCAACAAACCAGTTCCTAGAGATATAGGGAACCGGTCAGATTGTGTGGTGATCGCCAAATCTTGTCAGTGAATCGGTGACCCGCCAAAGAATCGGTCGATCGTTTAGAGTTAGAACGATCCACCAACAATTGATGAGATACCTTTTTCTTGCTTTTACAAGTCTCGAGCTGTAAAATTTTGATACTTGTGATGAGCAACTCATGAAAATCAATGATCTTTGCTCTATATTAAGCCCTAGATCGAAGTCCAAACACAAAAATCTTGTTGCTACAAGTAGATTTAAGCTAATAATCCATATTTTGAGAAAAAAAATGCAGTTTTTTGTTCTTGGATAGATCCGCCAAAGTTAAATATTCTCCCTCAAATCTGGTTCTAAAGAATATTAATTGAACCTTCTACAAGATCATAAGATTCAATTTGAGTGATCAAAACCCAGTTTTCCATAGATCCAGCCAGAAAAATTTCCGCTCTTTGGCATCTAAGTTTCTTAAATTCAAAATATCAAAAGTTACATTGATTATCTACAAAATGCATTGGGGTTTCGAATCTAGGAAGTACCCGATTTCATCTACACTAAGTATTTATATTTCTCACTTTAAATTTCTTTTATTTCAAACTTTTCTTTTCAAAAATTTAAGTTTTCATTAAAATATTTTTGCTCTTCTTGGAAAAATACGAAAAATCAAAGATCTCATCTTCGATTTTTGAACCAAATTTGTTCAAATTTGGTTTAAATTAAATAACCTTCATTCATCTCGCTACACTATTGTTGATTCAAATTAATGGATCTAAAACTAGTATAACATAGATCTAGCCCAAAAAATGCTCACATTTAAGGTTTCCTAAAAATGCTAATTTTTTAAAAAATGTAATATATTTTCAAATTTTCATAGGGGTTCTATTTGACCTCTTATTGGAAAGGATAAATGGCAATCATTTGATTTTATTTTTTTTTCTTCATTTTATAAAGATCACGATTTTTCTTGGCTCAGTTTTCTTTTCTTTTTTTTTTGAGGAGGTGAGTAGGGGGGGGGGAGGGGGGTGGAGAGAGATCTCACGTTTTTTTAAAACTAATTTTTGTTGAATATTTTTTTATCTATATAGATTTTTGTTTTCTTATAAGTTTTAATTTTGTTTTACTAGAAAATGAAATTTTTTAAATAGAATGTACAAATTTTTCTATAAAAAGTACTATCTTGTAAATTGTAATTGTTATCTTTGTTATAACACAATGTAAATTTTTTTAAAAAGTATTATCTCCTAAATTATATTTGTTATATCAATTAAAATAGAATATATAAAATTTAAATAATAATTCTTTTTGTTATTGTAATATTTAATCGTATGGAACCACTACAGGGTACGTACAATCAGCCACATACTATTGAGTCTAAACCCCAGACTTATGCCTCATCCGGCTCAATGATTTGTCTTGACAATTCAACGAGTAGAATCAACATTCGAATGACAATGAAGCAGATCGTCAATCTTTTGGTATTATATTGTATCATGCTCCATCTTGGATCATGTAGTTATTTCTTGATAAATGTATATTCTAGTTTGACTGTGGAATGACAGTAATATCAATAGAGAACTCAAACAGGAAATAGCTCTTAGTATTCACACATTTTCATAAAATAATGAAATCCATTAGGCAATACCCCTATTTTTTTAGAAACCCAAAAACACCACTTATAATGATTTTAATCAAAAACGTATTTTTTAAGGCCAATCAGCCCAAACCAGCTGATCCACCGATGCGGATCACTGATTCGCCAAACCAGACCAAACACTGCTCATAACATTCACTCCATAACTAAGTTCGCATATGCATGCACCTATAAATAATAGTATAACCACTAAAAATTTATAATTATTTCATTTATTAATTATTTGTATCTTTTGGCTGTCTTGAACCCCCGCAGTCCATGACTCCATGTAACAGCCGCTTGGACCACCTAGGCATCCAGGATACCCCACCACCTAGGTATCACCAGATGCTGTTGAGCGCATTAAAGATGACGTAGTAGGACATGGCAATAGAAAGAAAATTGACCCAAGTAATTAATACAACTTTCAAGAAACTCAAACCTTTTGTAACTTTGTTATCATTTTAGGCTTTTAAACTTCAAAAGACAAGGTACCAAATGTCAGTTAAGTGGTCAGGCTGAGACAAAAATCATTTTCCAGGGTTCCAAAACACAATAAGGTAAGTGATGATGCTTGTCATAAATGTGCTCTATATTGGGTGGCGAGAAGCAAAGTTAAAGCACATTCCTCAACCAAAAGAATTAAGGAAAAATGTTTTCCGCAATGCACATGAGACGTTTGTCTTTTGTTAATTACATCTTAAGTGGGCAATGACAGTTCCACACAAATGAAAAGACATTACAATTCAATGAACATGGAATATTTGTACTGCAAAGACATTACAATTCAATGAACATGGAATATTTGTACTGCAAAGACCCGTAAGGGATTAACCATGTGGGAATGCAAACGCCCTTACTTGATAACCAGACAAAGCTAAGATTCAAAACTCAGGACAGACTAGTAAGTCGAACTCCAGAAAAAACGAAGCCCCGGGGCAAATGCAAGAACAAACCATGATAATCGCAATGATGGCAATGGAGACACACATGAGGTTGTTGGATGGGAGCATGTTGGGGTAATGAAACAGAATCCAAGCAGATACCACGACAGACTCCATGATCATAGACACATTTCACCAATTTGGGAAGCTTCGCACAACAAAGAACTATAACAAGAAATATCATTTGATAGTTTGAGGGTGAAGGCCAAGTGAGTCCTTCATCCATCTTTGGTAGTGCCAGCATAGAAGAGAAAAGTAAGGACAGGGCAGCCAGTTACTTTTGATGACTACATAGGAGAGCAAAGTTTGGTGATAAGAGGCATGATGTATTTGAGTCATTTAACCTTTGATTAAAACTGGAGTGATGCAATCGCATAAATTTTGATTTCTAAGTACTGTGAACACTTTGAACTTAGAATATAATCTTATGTCATGATAAATGCACACAATACTTCTTTTTTTTTTTTACACTACATATAGCGGGGGTTTGTGCAGGAACCCCATCCATTGTATTAAACTGGACAAAAATGTATAGCAGTCAAGAGGTAATCCTTGTGTAATATAATATTTACAAAAATGCATATTCTTGGGAAGCAATTTTCCAATTCCTTATATTTTTTTTCAAAATAGATTAAATAATAAAGCTTTTATTTCCACCAATCACAGATAAAAAAAATGTTTTAAATTAGAGTATCCCTTTTTCATGGTCCTTAATTTTGCATTGATTTTAAAATTCTATTATGAGAAAAATAATCATCTGCAAAGTAGACCTGATTTTGGCTCATTTTGCATCACAAACTGAAAATGACTTCTTCTATGATCAATACAATGAAAATCAGATCTCACCCTTCAAGCCGACAACAAGATCCTATGGATTTTCAAAGCTCTTCCAAATGGAAATTCAAAACCCCAATGCAACAAAGCAACAGGGTTCCAAAACCTCTAACGTTTGCATGAGAACGCCTCAAGACTCTATTAACATCCTCGATTTGAAATTCTACTACACCCAAAATGTCATACTCTGCAACGATTAGTTTTTCAGATTGCTAACACTCCACTTGGGTCCAAACATTAATGACCATGGAACTCCAATAGAGAGAACCAGAACATGACACAAGTACCAAGTTCAATAGCTGAAGCACTGACATTTGTTGTATCAATGCATTTCTCCAAAAGAACATTAAAATGGCGCCCCACCATGATGGCACAATCTATTGAATTTACAAATCATAAGGGAATCAAAATATCTTCGAAGCAAAATTAACTGGTTAGATTTGGTATATCTATCTTGGTATTTCAAAGTATACAAAGCCAACCCAGATCTATATAATGAGATCAGAGAAAATGGATAACATGCATATTGTAAGGTCATTGTTGTAATAATAGTTGCTAAATCACGATCAATAAAATAGAATCTTAAAAAAAGAAAACTGAAAATAACAGGTAACCAAGAAATGCAAACGTTCATTCATGAAATGCTCACCGCACATATTCATGGCCCCATGAACCAAGATCTCCTTTTGAACCCAGCAGCCGATACTTTAAACTCTCCTGCAAATGTTGACAAGCCAACATACAATATTGTTGAGGAATACTGAATAAATAGAATATGATTCCCTTAAGGTATTATAAATTTCTGACTCAACGACTATCAATAGGTAGCAAAATAAAACCAATATACAACAATAAAATCTGAAACCCAAGAATAATATAGGATTTATGAGATAAAAAAAGGTACAAAATAGATATAAAATCAAATTCAAAGATCCAATACCATTGACTTCATGGCTAAAATCAAGAGAAAATTACATAATCCCCCCCATACCCCACAATGAAGGATACTCAACATAGTGGCAACTCCTCTCACCATCCACACTACTACTGTTTTTTCTCCCATCAACCGACCATTACTTTACAATAGCTTATTGGACAAAGATGCCCCTCAACAAACAATGAGTAAAAAACAATAATAAAATTCTCTTTTCTCTCTCTATTTCTTCCCTGTTTTCTCTCACCAAGTTCTCTTCCAAGGAAAAAACATTCCATTAATGGCCACCATTCTTTAAGTTTCCGGTCTACTGCCCATGGACAGATGCTTTAAGGGTTAGTTTCTCTTCAATGTTTTGCTGCTTTTCTATCATGAGATCTGAGGTTTTCCTTACCACATTCACATTGTATAAGTTTGACACCTGATTATTTTCAGCAATCACTGATGAAAAAAAAGAAAAAAGGCATTGCCCATTTGCCCATGAGTCCTGAAGTCCTTGTTGTCATTGTTTTTGTATTTATTGCCCATGAGTGTGGAGCTGAAAACCAAAGATGTAGAGAGAGAAAGGGGAGAGGTTGGAGAATTAAAGGGAGGAAGGAGAAAGAATCAGAGAAAGGGGTTTGACAAAGATTACATTCCTCACCGAGAAGCACATGTATTTGCTGCAACTTTTGGGCTATCTCTCTTCCATGTTTCTACATTGTACCCCCTCCTTTCTTCTCTCCCTAGTTTGAAGAGTGCGAGGATGGTAGAGAAAGAAAACAAGTGAGAGAGATGGAAGCTGCAAAAGGTGATTTGATGGCAGGAAAAGATGAGGAGGAGAGGGAAATTGTACATGAAGAAATTAGGGAATTGAAGGCGGTGGTTGAAATTTGGGGAAAGAAGAATGAGAAGAGGTTGTTGAGGAAAGGGTTGTAAGGACAGGACATTAGAGAAATACAAGTTTGCTAGGAAAATCCAAAGATGAGTTTTTTTTTTTTCTTTTTTTCTTTTTTTGTGGTTCCTTTTGATTTGCATTTGAGAGAGAGAGAGAGAGTGAGACAGAGAGAAAGAGAGAGAACAGTAGAATGTATAGTATCTTTTATACAGGGGGGATAACATGATTGCCCCCAAAATTAATAAGGCAATCCATAGGTATGAACAACACCACCTCACCAACAAAATTATACAATATACCCAGATAATAGAAAGAAAAAAACCATATGCCCAAGATAACCAGAATAATTCATGTTAATGATGTAATATTTATTTTGTATAAGTTGAAATTGGATTATCCAATCACTAGGTTCCGTTCCAATTGCAACTCTCAAAACTCCTTTTGAATTTAGTTACTACAAGATAGACAAGAAAATGCTTGATATGTGGTTACTTTCACTTACCCGTTCCCCTTCCACACACATGGTCAGTGCCAGAACTGAAAGAATATCTGCTAGGTATTTCTGCAATTTGCATTGAAACACATGAATAGATCATGTAACATTGACCAAAAGGAAACTAAGAGGAATATATAAGGGTTATGTTAGGGTACTCATACATGTAAGTATTTCCTTATTGTACTCAACATTTTTTGACACTCGATACCATTATCCCAACATGTAGTAACCTCGTTGTCTAGGGGTATTTTAGGTAATTAATCAGGGGTAAAATTGAAATTCTTGATAGAAATAAGAGTATTTATTAACTATAGTTGAGGATGACATCATCGTAACATCACCCACATGGAGCAATGATAGCTTCTTAACCACTAATAAATGCCACTATTTTCTTATAGAAATATTTATTTTACCCCTCCTAATGACGAAAAATATTATGTTACAAAACAAGGGTATATGAGTGTCCAAAAAAGTAGAGTACATTAAGGGATTACTCATATGTATGAGTCCCCTAACATAACCCCATATGTAAAAGCCCCACCTTTAGATCAGAATCTGCCATTGTTTCATAATATGCTTTCAAAGTACCATAATGAGGACGAAGAAACTTCAGAGGTTTTGGAACTGAAGTCATGGAGCTTGTTGAAGTACGTATCTCTTGCCTATTGAACAAAATAAACAATCAAATCAAAGGGAAACTATAAAGGACGTAATTTTGTTTGAAATATTTAGAACAAATTTAGAAACATAAGTCTGCCATGTAGCAAAAACTGTGAATACCCTTAAGTACTACCAATTTAAAGATGTCAAAAATGATAGCCAAACGGCTATAATACCATGTTGTGCATGCGATTCAATCAATTTGACTTAATCAAGTCTGCTCAAAGTCATTGCTCACTCAATTGAGTCAGAATTAAGAAACGAAGAAGACCATGTTGAGTTTGTCTCTAGGATCATAACTGTGGGATGTTTTCCCCCTTTCATTTTGGAAAACCCTTTAAGGTCTCCTAATTTTAAGGTTAACTATGTTAACTCCCCATTCCCAAATTCAACTAAATAACCCTTAGAAGGCTGAAATTTATTTACCATTTAGGGTAGCCTCCACATGCTCGTGGATTGAAATGTTCCTTCTTTTTCCTTGTCCTACTACTACTACAGCTTTCATAATTTTATTATTCCCTTAACATAAATGACTTTAAGAATGCATAAACATGGATACATAAACATTCAACCAATCACATCTGAATCACGAACTTAATAGCATAACATCTGCAGTAACCCACATAAATGTGACAAACTCAATTTTCCTAACAACTTGGGAATCTATCTTTAGGGTTGACAAGTTAGCCTCCCCAATTCCAATTGATATCTTAATAATGCTCAAGGAACAAAAATATCATCCCAAGCCCTAAAGTCAACTGTTTTTTACTTTTGAGGCCTGATGGCAATAAGATTCTTTACAGCTTAATATCGGTATCCCTTGAAGATTCCAACCAGGGAACACAATGAGCCAAAATGCATACAGTACATCCTCCAAAATGAACACACATGCACCACTGCCCCACAATCCCCCACCCCCCTCCTCATAGTTTCTTCTTAAGTAGATCTGGCCACATGATGTTGAAAAGTTCATCCCCATTATTAACAGGTTTGCCCGTCTTGTAAAACTTGAAATATCATATGAATAGACATTTAGATCTAATCAAATTTGGCAAAAGGAAGGAGCAATTCATTAATGCAAGAAAAACAATCACTTTTTTAGAGCTAGGGGACAAGTAGGGTTTACCCAGCCATGAATAAATATGCGGACAAAGGGGGTCATATTTTCACTCCTAAATGATGGAACGGGAAAAAATGACCCTAATACAAAAATTTCATTCACCCAAACAGGACCTTAGACAAATATATATAATACTCACAAGTACAGACACAGTCAATATCACTAAAAATATCTGTCATAACAATATTCACATTCTTTAGGGTGCAGGGGAGCAAGCAAAATTTGCAAGCAATAAACATTTCAACAAACTAACCAGGCAGGAAATTCTGATCAATCCCCAAATTAGGAGAGAGGGTCTAGGTTCTCCTATTTGGTTCTTGTGTAGCACAACACAAAAGAAGCATCTGCTGTAACTCTCTATGCAGTACAATGTTCTAATGAACAACTATCTTTGAAATTGAAGTTTCTTGTTCCCCATGTCAAACTCATGTTTTGGACATGTAGGTAATTATGGACATTCCACTTATTGACCTAGACATAGTTCATAAGTTACAAGATCCTGGATATTTGAGGTAGTTTGGGAAATCCTAATAATTATGAAATAGCAGGCTTCTTCATTATAACTTTCTTAGAATGCGGGTTCTCATGCCAGTGCTCAATAAGTTTAATTTTAGTGATCCAAGCCCATGCTTTGGATGGTTCGGATTTCAGAAGAAGCATGATCACTTCTTTTTATTATGTAACAGCATGACCACATATCCTAAAGACCAAATAAGTTTCCATGCTAGTGCCCAGTCCCATTTCCTAGAGAGAATGTGTACCTCTTTTTCGTTAATTATTGCTAATAATGCATTTAACTTGTTAAAGTTAACTCTTCTAAAAAATTTGAAAAAAACAATGCATTAACTTGCTAAAAAATAAAATTGGTGGATTGGTTCAAAAAATGTCCAGACTGCTTTGCATAAGATTAGAATTGTTGAGTTCTGAGACCTCCACTTAGGGAGTGGCCATACTTTAATTAACACATCTGAGAGGAATTCAGATCTCAGTTAGCCATGTGAGGTCCGAAATGTGCTTGGTGATGAAGAGGAAAGCATGTAGACACTTTACAATGGGAGAGTAGCAAGTATCTGAACCTTTCTAGAAACCCTTGATAGGTGGAATTGTTAAATGAGCAAGGTGATTGGGGTTCTGATCTGATGATGTAAATTGGATTCCTCAGATGTATAGAAAAAATAAATAAAGCTAAGTATTACATCCTCGTGTTGGAGCAATCTATTGGGGTGATTCATGCCAAGTACATCATGTTGCCAATAACAATGCTGTATAAGAAATTTGAAGAGGGAGAAAGAGCAGATAAAAAGTGAGTTTTGACTGCTCTAACTGGACATCCACAACACAATGAATAGCAGATTGGAACCAAGTGGGGTTGGAAAATAATGGTAACTAGTCAACAATAAATCAGTCGATGCCCGTTGGTGCATGGTTTTCTAGAGTACTTGCAAGGAACTAATATACTTAGTTTTCAATAATTCAAGGACATAAAACCAACAATATTACTTCAATTGCATTAAATTGACACTTAAAACATTGCGTCAATTGATTAAAAAGTGGAGGTAATGATAAAACTGGAACTAAATAATACGATTATTCTCAACAAAAAAAATAAAAATAGTGTAGAACGAATAATTGATTAAAAAGTGGAGATAATGATAAAAATGGGACTAAATAATACGATTGTGTAAGAACAATAAAAATAAAGGTGATGGTGATGCATAATAATGAGTGAAACAAAAAAAAAAAAAAGAGCTTAGTTGACAAAGCAAAATTAAAGCTAGAATTACCTCATGCTTTCTAAAGCTAACTTTTGAACTCCAGGATCTGAGTCTTGAACTCTCTCCACGTATAATTCAAGTTGTTGTTTCAATGCCAAATCCTCATCGGACTGTAAGAGAACAAAAAACTCACACATTGCCAGATTAAACCAAAAAAATAATAAATCGAGGATAAAAATAATTCAGCATTCGTAATAGCGATAAAAGATGAAGAAATGAGTTTCAAATTATATACCAAATCTTCATCTTTCTTTTCATCTTTCTTCTTTTTAGGGTCTTTAGATGGGGCTTTAAGAGAGGCCTGCTCTAAGCCGCCGCTTGAGTTGGGATCAGGGGCCATATTAGTGAGGAAGGTTAAGGCGAACCAAGAAACACTGGAAAACGCAAACCCTATAAAGCCAGTACAGCAGTGATCTTCGGTAATGGACGTCGAGGAAGAAACAGAAGGAATTCGTCGGAATATTTTAAACTTGCAGGTTAAGTTGGAGAAAGAACACGCCCATTTTAAAGCCTCTTAAGGCTCGAAACAATGAAAGGAAGGTGCATCTCTAAAGAGTGACGAAAGGTGCATCTCTAAATTTTATTTCTATCTTTAATTTGAAGTTTTAAAAATGGGCGCAGTTTCTATAAGGTTGCAACATGAAACAATCCAATTATGGCGCAAGTTCAAATTTCATGATAACATGCATCAAATTTCGTGATAACTTGCAATTTTGATGTAAGAACTTTTTGGGATTATTTAAAAATCTATTTTCCTATCCAATTATAAAATCTTAAACTTCAAAAATAATTAGAATCAAGTAGATCTATAAACATAAGAAAATTTTGAAAATAGATGATCTAGATACTGTGTTGCAAGATGAATCATTTATGGGACTCATAATTTATTTATTTTTTAATATTCATACATCTTGATGTCGAGATGATCTATTACAGGATTTTTTAACATTAAAATAACATTCACCGGTAGATTTTATAGGTCTATTGTATTTCTACATTTTAAGGTTGCAACCTTGTATAAACTTTTTCTTTTAAAAATAGAGGTTGTACTATGACTATTTATTTTTAATACAAGAAGATCACAAAATTTTTTAGTCATTGGATGTGAAATCTAATATATTAAAATAAAAAAATTCTTTCATGTGGGTTGGACCGCATGTCTACAATATGTGGTCCAAAGGTATAGAGCATCATCCATCTTAAATATGGATGCAAATAGGTGGTCCATCTAAAAACAATTGTACCGAACAGTGCAAATGTTTTCTCCAACTGTTTTCTTAATATAATTATTATTTATAGTTTTTTAAAAAATAAAAATATTTGTGATCTCCATGTTAAAGATTATATATTTTCTAAAAATTAGGATCAAATTAGATTTAAAAATATATTTATTGTCAAGCCCGCATTTATGCAATATGCGGGCTTGGCGCATAGAAACCGTGTACATTAAAATATATCACAATTTTTTATAATATTTGTTTCGGACTTTATACTAAGTTGTGACACATCACCACTTGTCCAAATTTACATCCAATGTGATAGCAATTGCTACCTTCATATATCAAAAGTAAATGGTCTCATCTTATACATTTCTTTAAATAACATAGATCAATCATATCTATAAATAATGTAAAATATTGAAAGTTAACAACCTAGCTAATGCATTGCAAGATGCATTTTTTCCCGTAATTGAAACCTTTTTTTTTTTTTTTACGTCTATACATCTCGAGGCTGGGGTGATCAATGTGATGGTTTTTCGACATCAAACATCTTCCACTAAATTTGTAAGTTGCGTCTTAATTTGATTGTTTAGAGTATCAACCTTATATAAATGTGTTTCTTATTGTATAAGGCACTCTCTTTGTATTGTAGAAATAAGGTCCACCACTAAATTTTTATCGGAGAATGATGTTAGAAAACTTGTGGCTGCTTGAAAATCAATTTTTATCCCCAATTATAGATTTTTAAATTTCAAGAATAATGCAAATCGAGAAAATCTACAAGTACTTGAAAATAGACAGTCCAAATAACTAGTTATAAAATGTGTTATTTTTAATACTTGAAATGCTTCTTTTTTTTTTTTCATGAAGAATTATATTTTAAGACGGGAACTCGCACACTCTCTATTTGTACTGATTAAGAACAAAGGAAATTCCATTATATTTTAAGAATGGAAAAAAAGCAATGAAGAGTTATATTTTAAGATGGAAAAATAAAAATGGAATATCCGTTATATTTTAAGAAGAAAACAAATGAAGAATTTTATTCTAGAAAGGGAAAACATGTGGCCGCTTGAAAATCAAGCCTACCAAGCCCTTCGGCAAAAATGAAAAATTCTATGCTCCTCCACTCTAAAACCGAGCCCACCGGGCCCCCGCTTAAGGGAAGAAAAACCTACCAAACCCAATCCCAAAACCTACCCCAACTTGAGAGGGCACCACCAACTTAAACAGAACAGCCCACTCAAAGTACCCAATATCATTGTCCAACCACTTTGCATGCTTTCGCTCGAGTTACAAACCCACGCTGCTGGGTCGGGCCGAACCCACCGATACTCGTCAAACAATGGACATTTATATGTTTTGAATGTCTTGTGCGACCTTGATGTGGGAATTTCTACCTCTGTCCACTCTCCCTTCCAAAATGCCTCTTAACTCTTATTAAAATTAAAGCTTTCCTGTGCTCTCTCTTTTCTTGTTTTTATTTCCCCCAGCTCTCCCTCACTCTCCCTTTAAATTATTCACTCTCTTGACTTCACTTGAGTTTTTTTTTAAAAAAAATAATAAAAATTGTTAACTTCATTCTCTCTCTCCTCTCTGAAATTAATCTATGCCCCCGTTTCCAATTTACCGTTCTATATATGGCTATCATTTATGGAAAGTTTGGCTTGTGTATTAATAGATGACAAATTTATACATATCTCCCCGAAGTTATTGTTATTTACAATAGGGAAATTATTTCATGCGGGCTGGATACATTTCTGGTCTAAAGGTATAAAGTATCCATCTTAAAAATGGATGCAAATAGGTGGTTCATCTAAAAACAAGTGTAACCAACGGTCTAAATGTTTTCTTGATATAATTATTATTTATAGTTTTTTTTGTTTAAAATATATTCATGATCTTCATGTTAAAGATTAAATATTTTATAAAAAATAGGATCAAATTATATTTAAAATATATATTTATTGCCAAACTGGTATTTTCTACACTATGCGGGCTGGTCGCATAGAAACCGTCTCCTTTAAAATATCACTTTTCAAGTTTAACATTATGTTCATACTCATTATTTGGGTTTTATTATTATTATTATTCTAAATTGTCTCTATTTCGGAGCTTGAGGGTTGAGGGTCCGAATTTTTCCTTTTCGCTTTCCAGGTTCCAAATTGTCACTATTTTGGACCTTAAGGTCTGAAGTTTTGTCTAAAGTTTAAAACTCCATACTTTCAAGATACGAAGTTACTGAAGTTATTTTTTTATCAATGCAAGACTTTTAGGATTATTATTGTTTTAACAAGCTCCCAAATGAATAACTTGCTGCAAATTTGGCAGTATTTAAAATAAAAAAACTGAGTCTATTAAATAACATGCTCACAACCACATGATTTGAAATGTCAAGGACAAGGTGATTGTGCCGTCTTTATACTAAAAGTAAGTAATCTCTTTTGTAAACTTTTTCTTATAATATTCCCTCTTCCAAACCCTATGAAAGAGAATGAGACCGCTGGCAAAAGGCAAGAAAAAAAGAATAAGATTGTGCATGAAATGAAACGACTGGTGTTAGATATTACATTGTTCGCCGTCTTTTATCTATAGCTTTAAATACAAACCACACACAAAGCATAAAAAAGAAATCACCACTCTCAAAATTTGTAGCACGAAGCTTATTAAAAAAAAAAAAATTGTATACAATGAGACCATTTACCTTTGATACAAGGTGATCACAATTACTTACAACCATCTGATGTGAAGTTTGATAGCTTGGATGTGTCAAAGTTCAATTATTATTTTTTTTGAAGTTTTAGCTTGATCAAAGGAATAATTGCAGCTAGCCAATTTCACAAATAATAGACAAGATTAATGTCTCACCTTGTACTAAAGGTAAATGATTTCATTTTATATTTTCCCGTAAAAAGCCCCTCAAAATTTTGAGATTTGGCTGGAGTTGTTTTGTGTCGTACCACTGAATTTTGAAATCGTTTCTTATAACGATATCCACTTCTCACTTAAAGTACAAGCTAAGGTTGGCACAGCCATAACAATGAGAAACCCATTGTTCAATACATGGGCTTTCGTCTACACTGCAACTATAGTTTTCTCATAGTTATAACTTTATGAGCAACCCGTTGTAAACAAAAGCGCATCTGGTGTAGTGGTATCATAGTACCCTCCCACGGTACTGACCAGGGTTCGATTCCCTGGATGCGCATTCTTGTTCTTTCCTTTTGTTTTCGTTTTTAATATTTTTGCTCTTCTCTTTTTTTTTCGTTTTTAATATTTTTGCTCTTCTCTTTTTTTTCCGTTTTTAATATTTTTGCTACTTTTCTTTTTTTTTTCGTTTTTAATATTTTTGCTCTTCTTTTTTTTTCGTTTTAATATTTTTGCTCTTCTCTTTTTTTCCTTTTTAATATTTTTGCTATTCTCTTTTTTTTCCTTTTTAATATTTTTGCTCTTCTCGTTTTTTCCTTTTTAATATTTTTGCTCTTCCCTTTTTTTCCTTTTTAATAGTTTTGCTCTTCTCGTTTTTTCCTTTTTAATATTTTTGCTCTTCTCTTTTATTTCCTTTTTAATATTTTGCTCTTCTCTTTTTTTTCCTTTTTAATATTTTTCTCTTCCCTTTTTTCCTTTTAATATTTTGCTCTTCTCTTTTTTCCTTTTAATACTTTGCTCCTCTTTCTTTCCTTTTTAATATTTTGCTCTTCTCTTTTTCCTTTTAATATTTT